AAGATTGGCTGTGGGAGCCAAGAGCGTTGTTGTCTTAGTACTGACTTCTGGATGACAAAATATCCCTGATGAGGTGTATTGAAGTCAACAAACTATCCAAGACATTAAAGTGAAGTCAGAAACGGCGAATAACTGTGCCTCCGTGGTACAATTAATGCCTCCGTGGCGCAATGAATGCCTCAGTGGAACAATTAATGCCTCCGTGGTACAATTAATGCCTCCGTGGCACAATTAATGCCTCCGTGGTACAATTAATGCCTCCGTGGCGCAATTAATGCCTCCGTGGTACAATTAATGCCTCCGTGGTACAATTAATGCCTCCGTGGCGCAATTGGTTAGTGCGTTTGGCTGTGAACCGTATCGCTATGCCATATAACATTAGTTTTAAATTAGAGTAGTGGACGAGTGAAACAAGTTACCAAACGTCATCATTAACTTGAACACGATAGGAAGCTTCAAACATAGGTTGGAGGGATATATGAGCCATAGGGGTTGGGTGTAAACGGGACTGCCTAGTATGGGCCAATAGGTGAAGTTTCCTCCATTCTTAAGTTATTTTTGGTCTTATGCCTAGATACTGACAAATCTTTCTTCGTCCGTTCCTCGAGTGAATTGACTCACTGTTTACCATTGCTTGTATACCTGTACTGTCAAGATACATTGTTTATATACCTACACTGTCTTCATATAATTAATACATGCATTGTCTATAGACTATACATACTGAGTCAATGTAAACTTGCATGACGATTTTACACTCTATCTCTCTATCTAACTATCTATTACCAAGAAAGGCAGAGTAGACCGTCAAGTAGTAACTGTACAACATAAGAACATAAGAACATAAGAAAATAAGGAGTCTGCAATAGGCCGGTTGGCCTGTGCATGGCAGCTCCTGTCGAGAGTTACTACCACTCTCTAACATCCATGCATCTATCTAGCCTCCTTTTGAAACTTTCCAGAGTTCCCGCACTTACTATAAAGTTGCTAAGCTTGTTCCACTCGTCCACCACCCTATTTGTGAACCAATTCCTTCCTATCTCCCTCCTAAACCTAAACTTATATACTTAATTCCGTTGCTTCGAGTCCTATCCTGCTCGGATATTATAAGAACTTTATCTACATCCCCTTTATTGATTCCTTTCACCCACTTAAATACTTCTATCATATCTCCCCGCACTCTTCGTCTTTCTAGGGAATGCAAGTTTAGTTTCTTTAACCTATCCTGATATGGAAGGTTTCTAAGTCCCGGAATCATTTTCGTCATTCTTCGCTGCACCGACTCAAGTGAATTGATATCCATTCTATAATATGGGCACCAGAACTGAACCACATAATCGAGGTGCGGCCTGGCTAGCGCAAAATATAGTTGCAATAAGACCTCTGCACTCTTATTACTTACACTTCTAGATATAAAACCCAATACTCTGTTTGCCTTATTTCGAACATTAACGCACTTTTTTCTAGGCCATGGGTCCGGGCTTACAAGTACCCCTCGGTCCCTTTCACAAGTCGACTTCTCTAGGTTGATGTTGTTAAAGGTTGTATACATTGACAGTATTTGTTCTTCCAATATTATGTACGCTGCACTTGCTGGTGTTGAATTTCATTTGCCATTTTTCAGACCACCCCTGCAGTTTATTTAGATCCTCCTGTAATGCATTTGCATCCTGCCCTGAATTAATCTGCCGCCCTATTTTGGTGTCATCCGCAAACTTGCTTATGTCACTGCTCATCCCAGTATCTAGATCGTCATCATCGTCTTCATCATCATCTTTGTCTTCATCATCGTTATCTATGCCATCATCATCTTTGTCTTCGTTGTCATCATCATTTATCTTCATCTTCATCATCCTCTTCGCCTTCATCATCCGCTTCATCTCCGTCATCGTCTTCATCATCCTCTTCGCCTTCATCATCTTTGTCTTCCTTTTCACCTTCATATTCCCTCTTCCTTTACAGGTGATCGACTAGGTTCACCATCTGATGAGGAAGACGAAGAGGATGATGAGGAAGGCCAAGTACCTTCTGTTGAGGTAGACTGGGGTTCACCTGCTCAAGAAGATTCGTCCTTTGGTGAGGAAGATCGTCTTCTCTTCAAAGAACAATCGTCCTTTGGTGAGGAAGATCGTCTTCTCTTCAATGAACAATCGTCCTTTGGTGAGGAAGATCGTCTTCTCTTCAAAGAACAATCGTCCTTTGGTGAGGAAGATCGTCTTCTCTTCAAAGAACAATCGTCCTTTGGTGAGGAAGATCGTCTTCTCTTCAAAGAACAATCGTCCTTTGGTGAGGAAGATCGTCTTCTCTTCAAAGAACAATCGTCCTTTGGTGAGGAAGATCGTCTTCTCTTCAAAGAACAATCGTCCTTTGGTGAGGAAGATCGTCTTCTCTTCAAAGAACAATCGTCCTTTGGTGAGGAAGATCGTCTTCTCTTCAAAGAACAATCGTCCTTTGGTGAGGAAGGTCGTCTTCTCTTCAAAGAACAATCGTCCTTTGGTGAGGGAGATCGTCTTCTCTTCACAAAACGATCGCCCTTTGGTTCAGCTCCCTCTTTACACTCTGTTTCGGAATCCTCACATTCCTCCTCAGTCTCCTCCTCTTCTTCCTCCTTCATCTCCATGCACTGCCAAGAGCGCTTCTTAGCCCGGCGCTTAAATAATTCCGGAAACAAGTAAAATAACTCGGCCAGGTTAGCTATGCCGTCATATTTAGATGAGTCGTCCGATTCAGATTCATCAACCAACGTTTCGTCAGGATCGATCTCGTCTGAGTCACTCTTGTACGATTCACTGTCATCCGAACAATATGTGGCCGAATCAGGTTCTTCGTTTAGTTCAGGTTCAGCTTGGGTATAAGGGTCTTTGCTCTGACTGTAATAGTTAGCTCTGCACCTCACAAGTACCTCCTCCTTGAAGGCTTCGTTGGCGGCCTCCACGTCCGCCAACCATTTCTGGTCAAGTGTTAACTTATCCGTGAGTTTATTTACCAATTCTTTATGTATTCCCTGCATCGTCTACATGTTGTTTGTAAAATTAATTGTGTCACATACGGGAAGATTTTGCCTTGTAATAAAAAAAAACACCAAAAAAAATTATGTCAGGTTGGATACATAGCTAACTGCCGAGAGTAACGGGTGTTGTCACGTGGGTGTAGTGTAGTACAGATGGTAGTGGGTGTAGAGGAAGTGGTGTAGTGGGGGTAGTAGAAGTAGTATAGTAAGGGTAGAGGCAGTAGTGTAGTGGGTGTAGTGTAGATGTCAGTATAGTGGCTGTAGTGTAGTATAGACGGTAGTGGGTAGAGAAGTAGTGTAGTGGGTGTAGTGTAGATGTCAGTATAGTGGCTGTAGTGTAGTATAGACGGTAGTGGTTGTAGAGGAAGTAGTGTAGTGGGTGTAGTGTAGATGTCAGTATAGTGGCTGTAGTGTAGTATAGACGGTAGTGGTTGTAGAGGAAGTAGTGTAGTGGGTGTAGTGTAGATGTCAGTATAGTGGCTGTAGTGTAGTATAGACGGTAGTGGTTGTAGAGGAAGTAGTGTAGTGGTAGTAGTGGAAGTATTATATAGTAAGGGTAGAGGAAGTAGTGCAGTGGGTATAGTGTAGATGTCAGTATAGTGGCTGTAGTGTAGTGGCTTTTTCTCTGCGTTTACTTTCTGAAGAGTCTTCGTCTTCACTTTCCTCTTCATCATCATCGTCGTCATCAACACCATCATCTTTGCCTTCATCTTTGTTATCGTCATCATCATCTTTGTCATTGTTATCATCGTCTTCGTCCTTCGTCATCATCATCTTTGTCTTCATCGTCTTCGTCGTCATCATCTTTATCGTCATAACATAAGAACATAAGAAAATAAGGAGTCTGCAATAGGCCGGTTGGCCTGTGCATGGCAGCTCCTGTCGAGAGTTACTACCACTCTCTAACATCCATGCATCTATCCAGCTTCCTTTTGAAACTTTCCAGAGTTCCCGCACTTACTATAAAGTTGCTAAGCTTGTTCCACTCGTCCACCACCCTATTTGTGAACCAATTCCTTCCTATCTCCCTCCTAAACCTAAACTTATATACTTAAATCCGTTGCTTCGAGTCCTATCCTGCTCGGATATTGTAAGAACTTTATCTATATCCCCTTTATTGATTCCTTTCACCCTCTTAAATACTTCTATCATATCTCCCCGCACTCTTCGTCTTTCTAGGGAATGCAAGTTTAGTTTCTTTAACCTATCCTGATATGGAAGGTTTCTAAGTCCCGGAATCATTTTCGTCATTCTTCGCTGCAACCGACTCAAGTGAATTGATATCCATTCTATAATATGGGCACCAGAACTGAACCACATAATCGAGGTGCGGCCTGACTAGCGCAAGATATAGTTGCAATAAGACCTCTGCACTCTTATTACTTACACTTCTAGATATAAAACCCAATACTCTGTTTGCCTTATTTCGAACATTAACGCACTGTTTTCTAGGCCGTAGGTCCGGGCTTACAAGTACCCCTGGGTCTCTTTCACAAGTCGACTTCTCTAGGTTGATGTTGTTAAAGGTTGTATACATTGACAGTATTTGTTCTTCCAATATTATGTACGCTGCACTTGCTGGTGTTGAATTTCATTTGCCATTTTTCAGACCACCCCTGCAGTTTATTTAGATCCTCCTGTAATGCATTTGCATCCTTCCCTGAATTAATCTGCCGCCCTATTTTGGTGTCATCCGCAAACTTGCTTATGTCACTGCTCATCCCAGTATCTAGATCGTCATCATCGTCTTCATCATCATCTTTGTCTTCATCATCGTTATCTATGTCATCATCATCTTTGTCTTCGTTGTCATCATTTATCTTCATCTTCATCATCCTCTTCGCCTTCATCATCTTTGTCTTCCTTTTCACCTTCATATTCCCTCTTCCTTTACAGGTGATCGACTAGGTTCACCATCTGATGAGGAAGACGAAGAGGATGATGAGGAAGGCCAAGTACCTTCTGTTGAGGTAGACTGAGGTTCACCTGCTCAAGAAGATTCGTCCTTTGGTGAGGAAGATCGTCTTCTCTTCAAAGAACAATCGTCCTTTGGTGAGGAAGATCGTCTTCTCTTCAAAGAACAATCGTCCTTTGGTGAGGAAGATCGTCTACTCTTCAAAGAACAATCGTCCTTTGGTGAGGAAGATCGTCTTCTCTTCAAAGAACAATCGTCCTTTGGTGAGGAAGGTCGTCTTCTCTTCAAAGAACAATCGTCCTTTGGTGAGGAAGATCGTCTTCTCTTCAAAGAACAATCGTCCTTTGGTGAGGAAGGTCGTCTTCTCTTCAAAGAACAATCGTCCTTTGGTGAGGGAGATCGTCTTCTCTTCACAAAACGATCGCCCTTTGGTTCAGCTCCCTCTTTACACTCTGTTTCGGAATCCTCACATTCCTCCTCAGTCTCCTCCTCTTCTTCCTCCTTCATCTCCATGCACTGCCAAGAGCGCTTCTTAGCCCGGCGCTTAAATAATTCCGGAAACAAGTAAAATAACTCGGCCAGGTTAGCTATGCCGTCATATTTAGATGAGTCGTCCGATTCAGATTCATCAACCAACGTTTCGTCAGGATCGGTATCGTCTGAGTCACTCTTGTATGATTCACTGTCATCCGAACAATATGTGGCCGAATCAGGTTCTTCGTTTAGTTCAGGTTCAGCTTGGGTATAAGGGTCTTTGCTCTGACTGTAATAGTTAGCTCTGCACCTCACAAGTACCTCCTCCTTGAAGGCTTCGTTGGCGGCCTGTCCGCCAACCATTTCTGTCAAGTTTAACTTATCCGTGAGTTTATTTAAATTAATTGTGTCACATACGGGAAGATTTTGCCTTGTAATAAAAAAAAAACACCAAAAAAAATTATGTCAGGTTGGATACATAGCTAACTGCCGAGAGTAACGGGTGTTGTCACGTGGGTGTAGTGAAGTACAGATGGTAGTGGGTGTAGAGGAAGTGGTGTAGTGGGGGTAGTAGAAGTAGTATAGTAAGGGTAGAGGCAGTAGTGTAGTGGGTGTAGTGTAGATGTCAGTATAGTGGCTGTAGTGTAGTATAGACGGTAGTGGTTGTAGAGGAAGTAGTGTAGTGGGTGTAGTGTAGATGTCAGTATAGTGGCTGTAGTGTAGTATAGACGGTAGTGATTGTAGAGGAAGTAGTGTAGTGGTAGTAGTGGAAGTATTATAGTAAGGGTAGAGGAAGTAGTGCAGTGGGTGTAGTGTAGATGTCAGTATAGTGGCTGTAGTGTAGTATAGACGGTAGTGGGTAGAAGAAGTAGTGTAGTGGGTGTAGTGTAGATGTCAGTATAGTGGCTGTACTGTAGTATAGACGGTAGTGGTTGTAGAGGAAGTATTGTAGTGGGTGTAGTGTAGATGTCAGTATAGTGGCTGTAGTGTAGTATAGACGGTAGTGGTTGTAGAGGAAGTAGTGTAGTGGGTGTAGTGTAGATGTCAGTATAGTGGCTGTAGTGTAGTATAGACGGTAGTGGTTGTAGAGGAAGTAGTGTAGTGGTAGTAGTGGAAGTATTATATAGTAAGGGTAGAGGAAGTAGTGCAGTGGGTATAGTGTAGATGTCAGTATAATGGCTGTAGTGTAGTGGCTTTTTCTCTGCGTTTACTTTCTGAAGAGTCTTCGTCTTCACTTTCCTCTTCATCATCATCGTCGTCATCAACACCATCATCTTTGCCTTCATCTTTGTTATCGTCATCATCATCTTTGTCATTGTTATCATCGTCTTCGTCCTTCGTCATCATCATCTTTGTCTTCATCGTCTTCGTCGTCATCATCTTTATCGTCATAACATAAGAACATAAGAAAATAAGGAGTCTGCAATAGGCCGGTTGGCCTGTGCATGGCAGCTCCTGTCGAGAGTTACTACCACTCTCTAACATCCATGAATCTATCCAGTTTCCTTTTGAAACTTTCCAGAGTTCCCGCACTTACTACAAAGTTGCTAAGCTTGTTCCATTCGTCCACCACCCTATTTGTGAACCAATTCCTTCCTATCTCCCTCCTAAACCTAAACTTATATACTTAAATCCGTTGCTTCGAGTCCTATCCTGCTCGGATATTGTAAGAACTTTATCTATATCCCCTTTATTGATTCCTTTCACCCACTTAAATTCTTCTATCATATCTCCCCGCACTCTTCGTCTTTCTAGGGAATGCAAGTTTAGTTTCTTTAACCTATCCTGATATGGAAGGTTTCTAAGTCCCGGAGTCATTTTCGTCATTCTTCGCTGCACCGACTCAAGTGAATTGATATCCATTCTATAATATGGGCACCAGAACTGAACCACATAATCGAGGTGCGGCCTGGCTAGCGCAAGATATAGTTGCAATAAGACCTCTGCAATCTTATTACTTACACTTCTAGATATAAAACCCAATACTCTGTTTGCCTTATTTCGAACATTAACGCACTGTTTTCTAGGCTGTAGGTCCGGGCTTACAAGTACCCCTAGGTCTCTTTCACAAGTCGACTTCTCTAGGTTGATGTTGTTAAAGGCTGTATACATTGACAGTATTTGTTCTTCCAATATTAAGTACAAGGGTGTGTGTGCGTGTGAAGATGATGATGAGGTATAGGAACTAACTGCTGGGAGCCCGGAAATAATAAGTTAATAATAATGATGACCAGAGACAATAAAATGACCGACACTGTTATGTGACATCGACGCAACTTTGGTATTCTTGTGGAGGCTTAAAGTTCACCGCTAGAGAAGTTTATAGTTATGTATGTGAGGTGTGATGACAGGTGTGTAGTGAGGCAGGTGTGTGTGTGAGTGAGTCAGGCGTGTGTAGTGTGTGAGTGAGTCAGGTGTGGATGTAGTGTGGTAGTGAGTCAGGTGTGTGTAGTGTGTGAGTCAGGTGTGGATGTCTGTGTTATTGACCGTAAAAAAAATGGAAACAAGAAAGAAATTAGAGAAGATTGAAGAGAGAATAAATAAATAAATACATAATAATAATAATAATAATAATAATAATAATAATAATAATAATAATAATAAGAAGAAGAAGAAGAAGAAGAAGAAGAAGAAGAAGAAGAAGAAGAAGAAGAAGAAGAAAAAGAAGAAGAAGAACAACAACAACAACAACAACAACAACAACAACACACACTAAAAGGTCAAACAAGACAAAGACACTGATAACAAAGACAATGTATAAAGTTCTGCATCGTGAATAACAAACAAAGACGGGAAATGATTATAAATAAACAATTGAAGATATACATAATTTTACATGATTTTGCTTTGTATTCAACTGTAATTTTTTTCATTATATTCTGGTAGCATGAATAATGAAATCCAGCGTTCATGAGTACACAAAATACTGCGTTTAAGTGTTGGTGAATGGAATAACGATAAGAGAGAGAGACAGACACATGGATGGTTAGACAGGTGAAGAACAAAGATAAAATTAGGTAGATGGAAAGACAGTAAGAAAGATGGAAACGGGCAGACAGACGAACAAACAGAGACAAACACATGAAGACAGACAAGCAGACAGACAATTGAAGATATGCAGGCTGACAGACAGACAGATAGACAGATGACCACAAACAAGCAGACGAGAACAGACAAACAAATGAAGACAAACAGAGATAAAGTTAGGCAAACCGACAGATGAAGACAGACAGACAGACAGACAGACAGAGGAAAGTTTCACCAGCCTTGGAGGTCACCAAGTCCGTAGTTAGAGGTCGCCACACCTTCTGATTGGTATCTTAGGTCAAAGGTCAACCAATCTCACTCTTTCTCTTCTGTGAGTGGCTCCAAGTTATCGTTTATGGCTCCAAGTTATCGTTTATGGCTGCAAGTTATCGTTTATGGCTCCAAAATATCGTTTATGGCTCCAAGATATCGTTTATGGCTCCAAGTTATCGTTTATGGCTGCAAGTTATCGTTTATGGCTGCAAGTTATCGTTTATGGCTCCAAAATATCGTTTATGGCTCCAAGATATCGTTTATGGCTCCAAGATATCATTTATGGCTCCAAGTTATCGTTTATGGCTCCAATTCAAGAATGTTTTCAGTCAACAAAACAACAACAACAACAACAACAACAACAACAATAATAATAATAATAATAATAATAATAATAATAATAATAATAATAATAATAATAATAATAATAATAATAATAATAAATTCGTCATACAAGTTTACAATAGGTTTGGAGGTTTGGTATGTAAAGGTAGTGTTACAGTGTTACATAGACCATACAGGTATACAAGCAATGGTGAACAGTAGGACAAATTCGACCATGGATAAAGAGACACGCGTTAATAGTGTCCCGTCACCACGAACAAGATTATTGGAACAGAAATTAATTGTTGAAATATTGAACGATAGCTTCCGTAGTCATATTTTTTTCCCTGTAGTGGAATGATTTTTCTTGTGTTATTTTTGTAAGAGGTGTTGATAAAATAGGAATAGGAATAAATGTGATGAAAGGGGGAGAGAGAAAAGGCCAATAAAGCATGGAGTAGGTGTAAGGTAGGAAGGAATTCTTAATATCTATATGTAAATTTGTCTGTTTGTCCATCTCTCTGTTACACACACACACACACGCACACACACACATACACACACACACAAACACACGCACACACACACACACACACATACAAACTTGACCCCGAATGACCTAGCCTGGGAGAGAAAATCAAGAGAAAGTCCAACATCAATAGACGCAACTCTCACGGGTCAAAGGTCACGACACACTGTACCTGGATGGTGCTAACACTACCCTGAAGGACACGGTGTTGCCTGGATGGTGCCAACACTATCCTGGACAATATGGTGCCTGGATGGTGGCAACATTATCCTAAAGGAGGCACAACACTATATTCAACTACCTATCATGTTAATTATGACCAAAATATCGATAACAAAATCCTCGTCTCCAGAAAGAGTCTGAGCGACGAACGGAATATAATATGTTTGGGAAAATTATTGTAGTGTGTGTGTGTGTGTGTGTGTGTGTGTGTGTGTGTGTGTGTGTGTGTGTGTGTGTGTGTGTGGCTTAGTGACATTTATGTAGTAAGCTGAGACGATACTAAACACACACGTAAGAGTTGAAACATCCTGATCAGATAACACCTGAATGAGTGAGCATATGTGTACCTGTGTTGCTCACCTGGTGATTAGTTACCTCATTACCACAGCACTTACCCAGGTATTACTCGGAGTGATTGATTGTTCAGGGTATTACTCATGAGGTTGTCTGGATGTCTGAGTAGATGAATGTCCAGCCCCGAGGTGAACAACAATACTAACTTGTGTCAGATGTTTCCAGTAACTACGAGGCCACCGTGTGTTGCTCCACGTTCCTCACAAACCATTTATGGTCTAACCTCAGGCGCCGTTTCCTTAAGACAGGTAATTAGTTATATTCTACATATCATACCCGAAAGTTCTTATGATGCTAGATACAGATAATAATACCAGGTGGTGGTGGTAAGGTGGTGGTGTAGCCAGGTGGTGCAGGAGGGTTCACTCGTGGCCTCTCTCTACCACCTGAGTCATCATCACCATCTGGAGAGACACACACACAACAACACGCCAGAATTTGACATACTCAGCAAAATGACATAAACACCAGTGAGTATCTTTCGTAAAATATCTGTCATAAACTACGTGTGGAAAAATATCTTATGGGGATTGTATATTTCACTGAGCTGTGATGCAGGAAACACGGGTGAAAGTGGGGTGTGTGTGTGTGTGTGTGTGTGTGTGTGTGTGTGTGTGTGTGTGTGTGTGTGTGA